GCCTCTGGGCCCGAAAAGCATGTAAAGAAGAAAACCATAAGAGCCTTGAAAGCCTTCACCAACCCTCAAAGAAACAAGGCGGACTGGGGCTTAGTGCTTATAAAGGTCTTAAGGTTTACAAAAGGGTTTTTGATTTATAATGGGTTTAGAATGGTTTATAATGGGTTTATAATATGGGTTTTGGGTTTATGATGGGTTTTGGGGCTTGTAAAGGGTCCAGGGTGTCCCTCAGGGTTGGAAGCCCTGAGCTACAGTCCGCCCAAAAGCTCACAAAACCTCCAACAGCTCCCCCGAAAGCCCACCAGGAAGCCCCCAGAAGCCCGCCAAAAGCCCCCAAACCCTAAACCCGAAACCCCAAACCCTGAACCCTAAAACCCTACACCTTGAACCCTAAACCCTAAATCCGAAATCCTAAGCCCTAAGCCCTAAACCCTTAACCCTCCCCTAAAACTTCCACCCCGCAGGACGGAGTCCTTGCGGATTTCGAGCGCGGCGTTGCGGAGCGCACCAAGAAGCAGCCCAAAGAGCGGCCGGGACTTATGCAAGAATATGGTAGGGTTTACGGTTTAGGGTTTAGGGTGTTCTTTTTCGGGATTCGGGTTTAGGGTTTGGGGTTTAGGGTGTAGGGCGATTATCGTGAAAGGTAACACACATCACAACAGTAAGAGTAAAGTCGCGGCTTGTTTTCTGTTTCTGGGTATTGAAGGACTGTTGGTCAAGGTTAAGGCTGTAAGAGCTAGTTCTGTGCTGATTTGCCGCCAAACATACGCAACATGTATTCCCCCACCCTCCGGTTGGGGTAGTTTAGGGTTTAGGGTTTCGGGGTTTAGGGTTTAGGGGTTTCGTTAGATGTGAACTCCCCCAAATTTCAGAGAATCCCCAGGAGAATCACGCAGAGCGTCCCTACAAAATCCTTGGAGTGCTCCCCCCCCCCCCACCCAGATGATAGGGTTTAGGGTTTAGGGTTTAGGGTTTAGGGTTTAGGGTTTAGGGTTTAGGGTTTAGGGTTTAGGGTTTAGGGTACAATACTCACCGAATGTCTTAGGTTGTTGTTTATGGTGGAGGGGGTGGGGCGGTTGTCGGGTTTTCAAGGTCAGGTTTTGGGGTTTAGGGCGGAGGGCCTATTTTTTTGGGTCTTTTTTTTTTTTTTGGGGGGGGCCTTTTTTTTTTTTTTTTTGGTCGATTTTCTTGGTTTTTCCTAAGAAAACCACCATTCCCTCCATATTTTTAAAGGATTGATGCATTTTCGTGGTTTTTCGTACGAAAAACAGTAATTTCTCTGTGGTTTCATAGGAAAGCGTTATTTCTGGTAGGTTTTAGAAGGAAAGAAGGAAAGAAAGGAAGGAAGGAAGGATGAAAGAAAGGAAGAAAACAAGGAAGGAAGGAAGGAAGGAAGGAAGAAAGGAGGGAAGGAAGAAAGGAAGGAAGCAAGGAAGGAAGAAAGGAAGGAAGAAAGGAAGGAAGCAAGGAAGGAAGAAAGGAAGCGTGCTTCGAAGCCCAAGAAACTAGTTGAAAAACATCGTGTGAGCATTGTGTTTGCAAATGGGGGGGGCTGCGCCCCCCCCAACCCCCCGCTTTTTTTAAGCCGTGCAGAGCGTGCTTCAAAGCCCAAGAAACTTGTTGACACCCATCATGTGAGCAGGGTGTTTGCAAATGGGGGGCTGCGCCCCCCCCCAACCCCCCCCGCTTTTTTTAAGCCGTGCAAAGCCAAATCCCAAGAAAACTAGTTGAAACCCATCATGTGAGCAGGGTGTTTTGCAAATGGGGGGCGAGCCCCCGCCCGTTCAAAAAGCCCAACCCGTGTGATGTTTGCAATGGGGGGGCTGCGCCCCCCCCAACCCCCCCGCTTTTTTTCAGCCGAAGCCCCAAGAAACTAGTTGAAACCCATCATGTGAGCAGGGTGTTTGCAGATGGGCGGCACAGCCCCCCCAACCCCCCCCCCCCCCGCTTCTTTTAAGCCGTACCAAGCGTGCTTCAGGGCAGCCCAAGAAACTAGTTGAAAAACATCGTGTGAGCATTGCAAATGGGGGGGGGCTGCGCCCCCCCCAACCCCCCCGCTTTCTTTCAGCCAACGCGCAAGAAAGTAGTTGAAACCCATCATGTGAGCAGGGTGTTTGCAAATGGGGGGCACAGCCCCCCCAACCCCCCCGCTTCTTTTAAGCTGTACCAAGCGTGCTTCAAAGCCCAAGAAACTAGTTGAAAAACATCGTGTGTGCATTGTGTTTGCAAATGGGGGGGGCTGCGCCCCCCCCAACCTTTAAGCCGTGCAGAGCGTGCTTCAAAGCCCAAGAAACTTGTTGACGCCCATCATGTGAGCAGGGTGTTTGCAAATGGGGGGGGGGCTGCGCCCCCCCCCAACCCCCCCGCTTCTTTTGAGCCGTACCAAGCGTGCTTCAAAGACCAAGAAACTAGTTGAAAAACATCGTGAGCATTGTGTTTGCAAATGGGGGGGGCTGCGCCCCCCCCCAACCCCCCCGCTTTTTTAAGCCGTGCAGAGCGCGCTTCAAAGCCCAAGAAACTTGTTGACACCCATCATGTGAGCAGGGTGTTTGCAAATGGGGGGCGCAGACCCCCCAACCCCCCCCCGCTTCTTTTAAGCCGTTCAAAGCCCAAGAAACTAGTTGAAAAACATCGTGTGAGCATTGTAATTGCAAATGGGGGGGGCTGCGCCCCAACCCCCCCGCTTTTTTTCAGCCGAAGCCCAAGAAACTAGTTGAAACCCATCATGTGAGCAGGGTGTTTGCAGATGGGGGGCACAGCCCCCCCCAACCCCCCCCTTGCTTCTTTCAAGCCGTACCAAGCGTGCTTCAAAGCCCAAGAAACTAGTTGAAAAGCATCGTGTGAGCATTGTGTTTGCAAATGGGGGGGGCTGCGCCCCCCCCAACCCCCCCCGCTTTTTTTTTAAGCCGTGCAGAGCGCGCTTCAAAGCCCAAGAAACTTGTTGACACCCATCATGTGAGCAGGGTGTTTGCAAATGGGGGGGGGCTGCGCCCCCCCCCCAACCCCCCCGCTTTTTTTAAGCCGTACCAAGCGTGCTTCTAAGCCCAAGGGCAGCCCAAGAAACTAGTTGAAAAACATCGTGTGAGCATTGTGTTTGCAAATGGGGGGGGCTGCGCCCCCCCCAACCCCCCCGCTTTTTTTCAGCCAAAGCGCAAGAAAGTAGTTGAAACCCATCATGTGAGCAGGGTGTTTGCAAATGGGGGACACAGCCCCCCCAACCCCCCCGCTTCTTTTAAGCTGTACCAAGCGTGCTTCAAAGCCCAAGAAACTAGTTCAAAAATATCGTGTGTGCGTTGTGTTTGCAAATGGGGGGGGGGCCTGCGCCCCCCCCCCAACCCCCCCGGTTTTTAAAGCCGTGCAGAGCGTGCTTCAAAGCCCAAGAAACTTGTTGACACCCATCATGTGAGCAGGGTGTTTGCAAATGGGGGGGGGGCGCCCGCCCCCTTTAACCCCCCCCCGCTTCTTTTAAGCCGTACCAAGCGTGCTTCAAAGCCCGAGAAACTAGTTGAAAAAAAAGTATGAATCCGATGAAAATATAGAGGGAATGATAGAAACCAAGAAAACGAACCAAATAGGGTTTTCCCTAGGACAAACTAAGGAAAAGCAACGTACGCTTTGACGTTTGACGAAATCCGTCCAAAATGTAATCAGAAGAGGGTTTCCTTAGGAAAAACCAACGAAAACCTCGTTTTTTTTCAAACCGTGCCGAGCGTGCTTCAAAGCCCAAGAAACTTGTTGACACCCGTCATGTGAGCAGGGTGTTTGCAAATGGGGGAGCGGGGCTGTGTTTTCCCCCAACCCCCCCCGCTTCTTTTAAGTCGTACCAAGCTTGCTTCAAAGCCCAAGAAACTAGTTGAAAAGCATCGTGTGAGACCCCCCCCAACCCCCCCGCTCTTTTTTTTTGGAAGCCGCGCAGAGCGTGCTTCAAAGCCCAAGAGGTGTTTGCAAGTGGGGGGGCTGCGCCCCCCCCCCCCAACCCCCCCCGCTTCTTTTAAGCCGTACCAAGCGTGCTTCAAAGCCCAAGAAACGAAGGAAATGACAGGATATCTGTCCAAAATGTAAGGAAAATAGGGTTTGCCCCCTAGCAAAAACCAAGGAAAACCTAAGGGAAATTACAGGAAATCCGTCCAAAATGTAAAAAAAATAGGTTTTTTCCCTATGAAAAACCAACGAAAACCTAAGGGAAATGACAGGAAATCCGTCCAAAATGTAAGGAAAGTAGGGTTTTTCCTAGAGAAAACCAAGAAAACCGACCAAAAAAAAAAAAAGGCAAAAAAAAAAAGACCCAAAAAAAAACTCCACCTGTTTAGGGCCTTGGAGGTCTAGGGCTTCAGGGGGTTTCCAGCTTTTGAGGGTTTTGTCAGCATGTCTTTGGAGTGTTCTTTGGGTTTTGGACTTCGATGGAGCCAGAAGCCTGAACCCTAACATTTTGGGGTCTAGGGTTTCGGGTTATGCGTTTGTGTTGAGGGGGGATGTTGTGGGACGTCGATCTCAAGGTGATGAGGTTCAGTGAGGATTGCCAGAGTTACAGGCTAGTTGTTCAAGCCCCCATTGCCCCAAACCTGAAACAAAACCGACTGGTCCTAGGCTTAGGTTGAAAAGGTACGAGGGTCTCTAAACCCTTCCTTTCCCTGAGTCCGTCATCCAACAAACCAAAGCACCCTACGCACTAGACCCTAAACCCTAAACCCTGAACCCTGAACCCTAAACCCTACACCCCAACCCCTTTGCTTTGAGAACGGCCCCCGCCTGAGGTTTTCCAGACGGCGCAAGTGCGCCCCCCCGTGCTTCAGGGCTTTTCGCTTTGTTTAGAACTGGGTGTTTGGAGCATGGGGGGCTGAGGTTGAGGGGTTCAACGCTCGAGATTGATTGTGACTTGCTTCGCATGACTGGAGCTGTCTTTCATAGGCTCTTGAGGCTCCGCGAACCCTCAGGTGGTGTTGGAGCAAGCGCTTGAAACCTGAAGAGCCGGAATCGCATCCCTATCATCGATCGCCAGGATGTGGCGATGCCTAGCGCCGCCACGCACGGAAGAGTTCTTCGCCAGTGCCCCATGGGCTTCGCAACTCCGGGGCCGGGGTAGGGTTTGTAGGTGTGTAGGTGTCTACTGAGCTCACGCTGAACCCTCGATTTCCCTCCACCCCCACGCCACAACCCTTAACTCTAACCCCTCAACCCCGAACCCTAAACCCTAAACCTGAATCCCCCAGACCCGAAACCCCAAACCCCAAAACAAACCCTCTGCATCCGAGAACAACTCCCAAAGACTCCACGACCTTATGGTCCTTTTATAAATATACTCTAATGACCCCTATGCTAATCATTAAAGCCCCTATATTACATCCGAGAACAACTCCCAAAGACTCCACCACTCAGGCCCGCCTGGATTGGATGCATGGCGGCGCAGAGCTCTGGACTCCCCTTTTGAAAGGGTTTAGGGTTTAGGGTTTAGTGTTTAGGGTTTAGGGTTTAGGGTTAGGGTTTAGGGTTTAGGGTTTCTCCCTGTTGAAAGGGTTCCAGGGTTTCAGGGGGTTTTAAGGGCTACTCCCAAACTCCCCCAAAACAAACAAAAAGCAAAGAAACAAGAGCCCCTAGTATAGTTGTATAGTTCAGGCCTTTGTTTCTTGTCCTGGGAGGGGGGCTACTTCTAGGGGAGGGGGGTGAGGGTGTAGGGTTCTGCAGTTGAGGATTACCCTAACCCTAAACCCAAAAGCCTAAACGCTAAACCCCACACCCTAAACCCTAAACCCTAAATCCTAAACCCTAAACCCTGAACTCTACACCCTACACCCTAAACCGAAACCCTAAACCCTGAAACCCTTGCAGGAAGTTCCTGGAGCCCTTTTCCCCAGCCATCCTCACTGGCTCCCCATCTGGGGATTGGGCCGTGCCCCGAGTAGATGTGTTTAGGGTTTAGGGTTTAGGGTTGAGGGTTTAAGGTTTGGGGGGTAGGGTACGGAGTTTGGCGGTTTGGGGTTCGGGCGGGTTTAAGGTTGGGGCTGAGGGTTTGGGGATTAGGGTTTGGGGTTTGGGGTTTAGGGAGCGAGCTGAGGGAGCTGGGGGAGCTGGGGGAGCCAAGGGAGCTGAGGGAGCTGAGGGAGCTGAGAGAGCTGAGGGAGTTGAGGGGGTTGAGGGAGTTACCCCAGTGCTGCTATGGGGTCGAAATGCCCATCGGAGCCCGAAACCCGAAACTTTATCCCTTTCGGATCCCATACTCCTCAACACGTGGTCGGCTATCTACACGATGGGCCCTTTTTGGGCGCCCTTTAAGTTTTTATAAACCCTAAACCCTAAGCCCTAACCCTAAACCCTAAACCCTAAACCCTAAACCCTAGACCCTAGACCCTAAACCCTGAACCCCAAACCCTAAACCCTAAACCCCAAACCCTAAACCCAAACCCAAGCATCCACAGAAGTGACCATGATTTCGCGCACCTGCCATGTGCGAGAGGCCGGACCCCAGAAGGTGCGTTGGTGCGAGAAGTGGCGCGGCCGGACGTTGGGGGTCGGTTTACGGTTTACGGTTTAGGGTTTAGGGCTTAGGGTTTAGGGTTTAAGCTTTGGAAGGGTTTAAGGTTTAGACGGGTGTGGGGTTTGGGGTTTAGGGTTTATGTTTTTACAAGGGTTTAGGGTTCAGGGTTGAGGGTTTAGGGTTCAAGGGTTTGTATCGATCAAGGGTTTGGCATGTGTGGCAAACCCCTAAACGCAAGAATTCTGAGGCGCCGGAATCCCTAAATTCCTGAGCCCAAGAACCCTAACTCCCCCGCAGCCTAATCCCTAAACGCCCCTAAGGCCTAAAGCGCAGAAGCGGCCGGAGCCCCTGAAGCCTGAAACCTAAAGCCTCTCAAGCCCCTAACTCTTCTCCAGCCCGAAAACGCCAATCCCCACGAACCCTAAACCCTAAACCCTAAACCCTAAACCCTGAAACCCTAAACCCTAAACCCTAAGCCCTAAACCATAACCCTAAACCCGACACCCTAAGCCCTAAGCCTTCAACCCTCATCTCCAAACTGGAGTGATGATTCATCACATGTGCTATGCTTCTTGGCGTCCTCCACACGCTTGAGAGATGGACCTCATGTGCGGATGACAGCATCAGCGGTTTCGCTTACATGGATCGGATTGGCTGTCAAAGTCCGCGTCAACCCCAAACCCTAAACCTGAACCCCAAAACCCTAAACCGATGTCCCCTCCCCTCCCCCACCCCCCTCAAATAAAACAAAGAGAAAGAAATGAACCCTAAACCCTTAGCTCTTAAACCCTAAACCCATTCCCCCCCCCCCCAAGAATAGAAAACAAGAAAAGAAAGGAATGAATAAAGTACAATAAAGAAAGAAAATACAAGAAAACAAAGAAAGAAATGAGTAAAGCACAATACAAGAAGAACGCCGAGGAACCTCAAGGTTCCAGCGGAGCGCGCCGGGACCCCTGGGCGTCGGCGGTTTTTGCCCGGGCTCTGTGCCAAGATTGTTTTATTATTAGTATTATGATTATTATTATTATTGTTATTGTTATTGTTATTGTTATTGTTATTGTTATTGTTATTGTGATTATTATTATTATTCTTATTATCTTTTTTTTTATTTATTTATTTTATTTGTTTTTTTTCGATGTTCTTCATACATTAACACATGAGTACCATTAAAGCTACTCCAAGGATGAGTATGAGTATTCGGGTTTGGCGTTTCGGGCTTAGGGCTTAGGGGGTTGGGGGTTGGGGATGAAGTTTAGGGATTCGGGTGTAAGGGATTAGGAGTTCGACCAGCGGGTTTTGGTCTAGGGTTGGGATGTTCCACCTTATACAACAGTCCCCAATAGGGATTACAATAGGGGGTACTCTAACCCTAAACCCTAAACCCTAAACCTTAAACCCTAAACCCTAAACCCTAAGCCCTAAACTGTTAATATCAGGGGACATCCCAAGTCTAGGGGGTTCAGGATGTTACCTTGCAGCTGCTCCATGAGTTGAAGGTGAACTCTCAGTCCAGGTTCCTCTTGGGGCTCGAGGAGGGGTTTAATCACCCTAAACCCTAAACCCTAAACCCTAAACCCTAAACCCTAAACCCTAAACCCTAAACCCTAAACCCTAAACCCCCAAACCCGAATCACGGAAGCGGAGCTCGAAGTCCTAAACCCTACACAGATGTACAGGTTCTCGTCGTGGATGCCAGTGACAAGGCCGAATGCCAGCTTGGGGGTAGATGTTTTGGGTTTTGTGTTGGTTGGCTTTTGGGCGGTTGTTGTGTTTAGTCTTTCGCAAGGGCTTGGGCGGCTTTAGCGTTTAAGGGCTTGCCGGCCCGGATTCGGTGTCTTACGCAGGATCTGGAACTTCGCGAAGAAGCACCCCGAACCTGCCATGCTTCATATAGCTAGGCCTCCCCTTTTTGAGGGATCCTATACATAGTACGGAACCCTTGTGTATAAGGATCCACAGAAGGGGGGGGTCCAAAAATCTAGAGAACTACCCATTATGCGAAACGCCGCGCCCTCATGGCTGCTTGGAGGTTCAGGGTACTCATAACCCCAATTATAGCTGTACTTAAAGACTTAGAAGCCCCCTAAGTCCCCTAACTAGGTTAGAAGTAGATTTATAATCCCTCAGCCCTAAACCCTAGCCCTAAACCCTAAACCCTTGTGGTTCGACTCGCCCCCAGGGAGCCTGGGTCTTCATCCCAAACAGCTTCCGCACGAGCCCTCCAGAGCTTGTGGAAGAGTCTTTCTGGGATGTTCCCCCCCCCCCCCCCTACACGAACAGCTCCATAAAAGGGACTATAAGACACCCTGTTCCTTAAATGGGATTCTAGTACACCCTATTAATATTCCCTATCAAGGGCTGTTAGTCTAAGGGGGCAACAACCCAACATGCCCTAAACTCTAAACCCTAAACCCGAAACCCTAAACCCTAAACCCTAAACCCGGTCTCAAGAAGCCCGCGGCAGCCCTGCGCCAGCATCTCTTCAGCCATCCCGGTGCAATCCTGGTGGACGACCGGGCCGAGTATCGCCAGCAGCCCGAGAACTGTTGGGATGTTCCCCCTTACACTTGGAGCTTCATGGGTACTTAGTTTAGGGTTTAGGGTTTAGGGTTTAGGGTTTAGGGTTTAGGGTTTAGGGTTTAGGGTTTAGGGTTTAGGGTTTAGGGTTTATAAATCTACTTCTAACCTACTTCGGGGACTTAGGGGGCTTATAAGTACAGTTATCTTTGGCGTTAGAAGTGCCCTGAGCCTCCAAGTGCCAACAGCTCCTTGATAGGGTCTTTTAGTACCTTAAAGTACCCCCCCCCAGTTATAATCCCTATAAACGACTGTCAGTATAAGGGGGAACATCGCAACCTGCAACTGTGCAGCTAGAGGGGAAGAAGGCTTACTTTGTAGCACTGCCTCAGGCCTGCCAAAAAAACTCGCCCTCTTTAGGCGCCCAACTGGTTTAGCCCTGGCCTATACTTGGACGTTCATGCAAGTGCAGTATAATTAGGGTCATAAGTACCCTGAAGCTCCAAGTAGAGTTCAAGAGAAGGAGATCAGCAATCAGGGTTTAGAGGTCACCTGCAGTCTCCGATCCAGTCAGGTGAAGTTGAGGATGCAGAGGGCTGATTGGGGTTTAGGGTTTAGGTTTTTAAGGTGTTAGGGTTAAGGGTTTAGGCTTTAGGGTTCAGGGTTTAGGGTAGGGGTTTGAGGACTTGAGGTCTAGTCTAGGGTTTCTTTCGGGGATGGCCTCTGTCTGCGTCAACAGTGCGGAGCGCAGCAATGAAAGCGAGTGAGATCAGTGACAAGATATCGAAGAATCGGAGCAGGTGGCAGTTGGGCCTCCACCCGTTCAGTTCATCTGGGGGTTTACGATGTCAGGGGTACCTTGTTGAGGTCCTTGTTATAAGGGGATCCTACTGTTTGGGAGTCTATATTCGGGGTCCCTTGGTATCGTAAACCCCCCATATTTTATGCTGCATGCGCTTTCAGGAGGTGGCGACGTCGTCTAGGAACGAAGGACCACGTGCGAACTGGGGTGCCTTCTCATGAGGTTTAGGGTTTAGGGTTTAGGGTTTGGGGTGTAGGGTTTGGGGCAAAGGGCCTTTCACTGTCAGGTTGAGGTGACAACGCATGCTTGCGGGCTGCCGAGATCTCATAGTGCCACAAACCTGGGGCCCAGGTTTGGAGTGGGAAGCCCGTGGCGGCATCTTCGTCCACTGCACAGATGCCCAGGCGTGGGCGCAGAAAGGTGGTGGTCGGATTTCGAGCACTCAACTGAGCGTGTATTGGTCGTCTGGAGAAGGCACACTGTCACTATAAGTATCCTAAGCCCGAACTGGGTTCGATTCTCAGTACAAGAGGTCGGTTCGGAAGATCAGAAGCTGTCAGTACGCCATTGCCCCGACGTTGGTTTCAACATCTAGAGTCCAGACCCCTTCCCCTTAGTTGCCCGAAAGTCGAAGCTCTGCACTGTATTGCCTGCCCATGCCCGACAGGCATCGATCGAGATGGCAGGGGCCTCGACTTGAGTTGCATCGGTTTAGGATCTGGCTGCGGAGGAACACTTCATGGCTACCCGAACTCCGACAATTCCTAAACCCCTAAACCCCTAAACCCCTAACCCCTAAACCCCTAACCCCTAAACCCTAAACCCTAAACCCTAAACCCTAAACCCCAAACCCTAAACCCCAAACCCTGAGGTGCAGCAGGCCTTGCACAAACTCACGAGCCCTGGCCCGCTGCGATGTGCTGCGGCCCGGCGTGGTTTGGGATTTGAGGTTTGGGGGTTTGAGGGTTGGCTAGGGTTTAGGGTCTAGGGTTTAGGGTTTAGGGTTTAGGGTTTAGGGCTAGGGTTTGGGATTTAAGGTTTTGGGGGTGTGGGGGTGGTTAGGGTTTTGCTTTTTGGGTTTGGGGTTCAGGGTTTAGGGGTTAGGGTTTGGGGTTTAGGGCTTAGGGCTTAGGGCTTAGGGTTTAGGGGTTAGGGTTTAGGGGTTTAGGGTTTGGGGCTTCGAGCATCTTCTTTGCGCAGGCAGGGGTCTATCACACACAGCTGCCCAAACCATCACCTTTTCGGGTTTAGGGTTTAGGGTTTAGGGTTTAAGGGTTAGGGTGCCACCTATATCCCAATCCCTAAATCCTAATAAAACCCGAAACCCTGCGCGCAGCCCAGCCCTGTCTCAGGGCTGTCTTCGGCCACCCACCCATGGCTGAGCCCAGTTCCGGTTTTTTTTGGGGTTTACGACATTGGGGTTTCGGGTTTGGGGTTTAGGGGGTCCTGTTTATAAGGGAATCCTATATCCTACTATTTGGGGGTCTATATTGGGGTCCCCTTATTTCTGGCAACCCCCATAGCTTCAGTGCCTGAACCCTAAGCCCCTGAAACCCGAGAGCCTGAACTTAAAGCTTAAAACCCTAACCCTAAACCCCTAAGCCAAACCCTAAACCCGAAACCCCAAACCAAAAAAACAACCTCCAACAGCCCACAGGACCTGTGCGTTGAGGAGGACACCGGGGTGGAGCTGGATGCCGTCCTTGTGGCGGCCACGAGCCCGGTTTGCATGGGTTTCCCTACTACCCCCCCTCTATACTACCCCCCCTAGGTTCCCCACTTTAAATAACCTCAATCAGGCTTAATTATCCCTAACCTGAATCATGGAATCACGGGGGAGCAGTATAGGGGGCGGGTTTCCGAATTTTCGGGGTACCTGATTCAGGTGGCATCCTACTACGTGGGGGTCTATATTACTCTCATTTTCTTCAACCCTATGTAGTTTGGGTTTCAGTTGTTCGTTGGGCTTTTGGTTGGAGGGGATTAGGGTCTGGGACCACCATTTTCTAGCTCTAGGCCCTAGACCCTAGACGCTAAACCCTAAACCCTAAGCCCTAAACCACAAACCCCAAACCCCAAACCCTAAACCCCAAACCCTAAACCCTAAACCCTAAACCCCAAACCCTAAACCCTAAACCCTAAACCCTAAACCACAAACCCTAAACCCTAAACCCTAAACCCTAAACCCTAAACCCCTGGGGGGCACGGGGCCCCAAAAAAGGTTCCTAGGGGCCACCTTTGCCAAGAGCTCCCTACCGAGCCAAAAAACCACTTCGAAGGAAGCCCCTATCAACAACGAAATACGAAACTCTGAAGCCCTAAAGCCCTAAAGCCCTAAAGCCCTGAAACCCTAAGCCCTAATACGAAACCCCTTGTCAACAAACCCTAAAGCCCTAAAGCCCTGAAACCCTAAGCCCCAGGCCCTGAAACCCTAAGCCCTAAGCCCCAGGCCCTAAGCCCTAAGCCCTCAGCCCGAACTAAGCCCGAAGCCCCAAGCCCCAAGCCCTAAACCGTAAAACCCAAAACCCCAATACCCAAAACGTGAAACCCTAAAGCCCTGAAGCTGGGGAAGGCAATCCAGCCCAGTTTCGCCGAAAACTGGTAGGGTTTAGGGTTTAGGGTTTAGGGTTTAGGGGTTATTCCACGTGCCTTCACGAAGTCTCTACTGGGTGTGACTCTTAGCCTGAAGACCCCTGCACAACTTGACGCCGAGCTGTGGCGTGGAGTTTAGGAAGTTTAGGGTTTAGGGTTTAGGGTTTTGGAGACTGAAGACATGGGGACGGATGCAAGGCTTGAATGTGTCGACGACAGTGAATCATTCTGATGAAGCCCTCACAAAGAGGGCAAGTGACACGGGGGACCCAGACCGAAGTGTTCTGAGACATTATTCCTTGGAATACGAATAGGATTCGGCCCCCCAACAGAGGCTCTTGAAAAATTGCATCAGAAGCTCGTAGATGAGATTCTCATAATGGAAATAATGGAACGCGGGTTCATCGAGCGTGCAGCTGTTGAACCAGCATTGTGAGGTGGGTGATGCTTAGGGTTGCGGGAACAGGGGTTCATGGTTTTCTGAAGGTAGCTTCACGGGCCCTTGATATGGTCCCTAGGCTCTTTAAACCCTAGGCTCTTTAAAGGGTTCTGATGTTTCGGCCCTTAATTTGTATAGGGTGGTACATATAAGGAGTACTCTTTGAAGGGCTCATACTAACGGACCATGTAACTACCCTTAGAGGTTTTCATCCTGGGTCTGCCTTTGGGACATTTCATATTTTCCCCTAGCGTGCTTAAACCCAGTCGGGCACCCTGAAATGTCCCGGCTTCCCGAAGGGCCACGTTAAGTCCGAACCGGCGTTTAGGGTTTAGGGTATAGGGTTTAGGGTTTAGGGTTACCCGAAACCCCAACTCCTAAACCCTGGGTCTCGACGTGAATATGGCGAGTTTCACACAGCTCCAGGGAGCGCCCCTTCGGCAGCTCGGTGCGAAAGGTAAAGTTTTGATTGTATGTTACTTAAGAATCCCAGAAACGCTCGTGGAGTTTATTGGGCCAACGGGACCCGCGGAGCACCACAATTGCCAGGGCCTCCGCTGAAATAGGTAATGGACAGGACCGGCGGCACCGCCTGCAAAACGCCAGGGGCTGCCGCTTGGCAGGCAGCATGTGATGCCAATCAGATGCCCTTTAGCCTACAGTACCTAAAGGACTCAGAGTTTAGGGTGCAGGGTGAAACCCTTAAGCCCTAAACCCTCCCGAAGCATGAATCGCTTCTGCCTGTCTCGGCGCATGTAGTGGACCTTGTCCTGTTCAAGCCGTAAATAAACATGGGCCACCGGACCTTTTATGCCAGAAGGTGGCCAGTCTCTCGTCTGCCGAATGCTGCTGTTCTCCAGAAGCAGCGTAACTTAAGACCTCAACCCAAAAAACATGGGATGCTCCCCCTTATGCTAACAGTCCTTAATGGTTAATAGGGATTATCGCCGTACGCCTGATCGAATCCCTATTGAGGACTGTTCGGATATAAGGGGGGAACATCTGAAGCCAACACCCCGAAGCCCCAAATTCTGAAACCCTAAAAAACCCTAAACCCTAAACCCAAAACCCAAAACCCAAAACCCAAAACCCAAAACCCAAAACCCAAAACCCAAAACCCAAAACCCAAAACCCTAAACCCTAAACCCTAAACCCTAAACCCTAAACCCTAAACCTAAACCCTAAACCCTGAATCCTCAAGTTTCTGTTGCGGAACCGGCCAGCTCGAAGCCGAGCAGCATCTCTTTGGGCTCCTGATCCTTGCCTCCGGTTCTTACCCCACTGAAGGATACAAACCGGGTACAGGGCTTACCTTAAACTGTTATAATCTAACCTTAAACCATGATTCAAGCCCTAAACCTTGTAGCCTTGGTTCAAACCCCAAACCCCACACCCCAAACCCCCAACCCCAAACCCCAAACCCCAAACCCTAATTAAACCCTAAACCCCAAACCCCAAACCCTAAACCCTAAACCCTAATCCCTAAACCCTAAACCCTCAACCTCGGGGTCCATTCTGCATCGCCTGCTGGCGGACAGTAGCGGCATCCTGGGCCTTCCTCCGTGTGCCTTCTGAGCTGCTGCAAGGAAAGGTTTGGGGTTTAGGGTTTAGGGTTTAGGGTTTAGGGTTTAGGGTTTAGGGTCAGGGGTTTAGGGTCAGGGGTTTAGGGTCAGGGGTTTAGGGCTTGGGGGTGTTTAGGGGTTTAGGGGTCAGGGTCTCGAGGGTTTAGGGGTAGGGGATTAGGGTTTAGGGTTTTGGTGTTGAGGTTTTGGGGTTTAGGCAAGCACGAGCTCACAGTCCCCCTAAACCCGAAACCCTAAACCCTAAACCCTAAAGCCTAAACCCTAAACCCTAAACCCTAAACCCTAAACCCTAAACCCTAAACCCTAAACCCAAAACCCAAAAAACCCTAAACCCTAAACCCTAAACCCTAAGCCCTAAACTCCGGTCGACGCGAACTGGACGATCCCGCGCGGTCTCGGGAGCTTCGTGGTGTTTAGGATTTAGGGTGTGGGGTGTGGGGTTTTAGGGTGTAGGGTTTAGGGTTTTAGGGTTTAGGGTTTAGGGTGTGGGGTTTTAGGGTTTGGGGTTTTAGGGTTTAGGGCTTAGGGTTTATGGTTTAGGGCTCAGGTTCTAGGGTTTAGGGTGTGGGGTTTTAGGGTTTAGGGTTTATGGTTTTAGGGTTTACGGTTTTAGGGTTTAGGGTTTGAGGTTTTAGGGTGCAGGTTGTAGGGTTTGCGCGGGCTTCCGGTGAAGAACGCACATGTCAGTTCGAGTCTGTTGGGCAGCTCAGGCCACATGTGCTGCACAGTGGACGCTGCGCGGCAGGTGGAGTTTCAAACCGACGGCAGCAGTGATCTTCTGCCTTGCCGGAACAGTGCTAGCAAAAAGCCCTACACCCTAAACCCTAAACCCTGCATCCTAAACCCTACACGCCCTACACCCTAAGTCCTAAACCCTAAAACCTAAACCAACCTTTGTGACAAGATATGGCAGGTTGAGCAATGCATCATGGGGAGCTTCGGGTTCATTGTGGCGGCTCCGGGGAATCGAGTTGGACATTTTAGGGTTTAGGGTTTAGGGTTTAGGTCCGTAGTCTATCTGCGCAGCCTTTTGCGGTAATGTACTGCGAATACTGCTTTCATAAGACTCTAGACCAATCCTAGGTAAACTGTAAATCCTAAACCCTAAGCCTTAAGCTCCTATCTCCGAAGGCCCCAAGACGCTGAACCAGGAATTCCACCCCCGCTTGTGTAAAAAAAGTGGCGCGTCTTGCCAGCTGGAGCTGCTCCCAGAGACTACTATTGGCTTAAGAACCCCCTAAGAAATATGAAGCAATAATCCCCTTATTACCGTTATAGGGAAGAACACGTTTTGTTTTTTGGGGTTTGGGGTTTGGGGTTTAGGGTTTAGGGAGTTCCGAAGCAAACAGAAGGAGAGAGTGTCCTCTGAGTCCGAGGGGTACAGGGAGTGATTTTGCGAGTGAGGCACCCGAGGCTTGGGGTTTAGGGTTTAGGGTTTAGGGTTTAGGGTTTAGGGTTTGGGGTTTGGGGTTTAGGGTTTAAGGGTGGATGTACCCTGGAACTTAAAACCCCAAGCCCTTAGCCGGTCCCTAGACTTGGAACTCTTGAAGTTTAGCCCTTCCGATGTCTGGGGCACACGGGGCTTCGTCGGTCATCTGACAACCTTTCGGTGAAGTGTGGCAAGCTAGCTGCTTGGTAATTACGGGGGGTTTCTGCGCACCACTTCCAGGATTTTGTTAAGAAGTTTGAAAGAAACGATCGCGGCAGTCAGTCGACTGGGGTACTGACAAGCCAAAGCCCAAAAAGTTGAGCCACTTATCGACACGCATAGAAACAACATGAACAACATAAACATCACACTAACCCTAAACCCTAAACCCTAAACCCTAAACCCTAAACCCTAAACCCTAAACCCTAAACCCTAAACCCTAAACCCTAAACCCTAAACCCTAAACCCTAAACCCTAAACCCTAAACCCTAAACTGCCATGTTTGCCTTGTTGCGACTGTTGAGGTTGTGCCGTTTTCTACGTGCTTTTGTGGCACGTGCAACGTTTCCAGATAAATTGAAGCAAAAAGCATATTGGGCGTTTCGGAATGTAGACCATGAGCAACCCTACGATAGAAAAGGGAACTTACAAGGGAAACCCTAAGCCCTAAGCTCTAAGCCCTAAACCCTAAACCCTAAATCCCAAACCCCAAACCCCAAACCCGAAACCCTAAACCCTAAGCCCTAAGCCCTAAGCCCTAAGCCCTAAACCCTAAACCCTAAACCCTAAACCCTAAACCCTAAACCCTAAACCCTAAACCAGCTGGGAGCTCTCAGGCTGGCTGCTTGCGTTAGGCTCCCTGCTTCTGATCCCTTAAGTGAGGTTTAGGAAGTTTAGAGTTTAGGGTTTAGGGTTTAGAGTTTAGGGTTTAGGGTTTAGGGTTTAGGAAGTTTAGGTATGATCCTAGGGCAGATGGGGTTCCATGTTTGTTGGGGTTCTAGGGCTGTAGGGTTGAGGGTTCAGGAATTGGCAGGCTTCACGTTTTCGGGTTTGTGCTTGGGGTTTATGCCTAAACCCTAAACCCTAAACCCTAAACCCTAAACCCCAAACCCCAAACCCTAAAGGTCAGCAGGGTTTGGGTGGGTATGTCGGTCGAGGGCTCGCAGCCTAAAGCTCGCAGGTGTCGAGGCTCCATGGCCTTCCTTTAGGGTTTAGGGTTTAGGGTTTAGGGTTTTCAAACCCTACATCCTCAAACCCTGAAACCTTGGGATGTGCCCCATTATACCAACAGTCCTTCATAGGGATGAATAGGGGGTACTAGAACTCATATTAAGGACTGTTAGTGCAAGGGGGAACATCCCACCCTAAGCCCGAAACTCGAATCCCTTGAAGCGTTGGTGTGTGTGAGTGGGTCTTTGCACCCTGAACCTCCCTTCAGCACTTTTTTTTTCTCACGAGGTCGGGGAACCCTAAGCCCGATATCCCTAACCCCTAAGCCCTAAACCCCTTGAACCTGATTCAGAAGCTTAGACCGTTACCAATAGCATCCCTAACCCCAAACCCTAAACCCTTTGCCCGAAGCCCGAAGACCCCTAAGCATAGCTTCGGGGATATCGCAGGTCTTTTGCCAGCAGGAGCCTGCAACGCGGAAGCGCGCCGAATTCGCGGCCTTCAGATCTGTAGCCAGTATGCCATATTGACTTGAATGCCTCAACCCGAAACCCTAAACCCTAAACCCTAAACCCTAAATCCA